GTTCATTCTCAGAATCTGATGTAAAAAAGTAGACTTGTACCTATGGTTCATTCTCAGAATCTGATGTAAAAAAGGGTGACTTGTACCTATGGTTCATTTACAGAATCTGATGTAAAAAGGTGACTTGTACCTATGGTTCATTCTCAGAATCTCATGTAAAAAGTGACTTGTACCTATGGTTCATTCACAGAATCTGACGTAAAAAAAGGTGACTTGTACCTATGGTTCATTCACAGAATCTGACGTAAAAAAAGGTGACTTGTACCTATGGTTCATTCACAGAATCTGACGTAAAAAAAGGTGACTTGTACCTATGGTTCATTCACAGAATCTGACGAAAAAAGGTGACTTGTACCTATGGTCCATTCACAGAATCTGATGTAAAAAAGGTGACTTGTACCTACGGTTCATTCACAGAATCTGACGAAAAAAGGTGACTTGTACCTATGGTCCATTCACAGAATCTGATGTAAAAAAGGTGACTTGTACCTACGGTCCATTCTCAGAATCTGATATAAAAAAGGTGACTTGTACCTATGGTCCATTCACAGAATCTGATGTAAAAAAGGTGACTTGTACCTACGGTCCATTCTCAGAATCTGATGTAAAAAGATGACTTGTACCTATGGTTCATTCACAGAATCTGATGTAAAAAAGGTGACTTGTACCTACGGTCCATTCTCAGAATCTGATATAAAAAAGGTGACTTCACGGCACGAAAAACGGTATTTACGGATGCTTAAACTATGCTTAAAGTCAACGTATATTCCGTCTTTACGCATCTATACACGTTTTATACGAGTACGTAAAGATCGACGTTACGTGGTCTTTCCGTAGGTGCGGATGGATCCTTATTTTCCGGTTTTCACGTAGCCTTTAAGCACTTAAAGATGTCTTAAATGATGATTAAAATATTTTTAAATTGTAAGTAAAATTAACGTATTTTTATTGTTTAAGCATTTTTAAGGGTAATATACGTATTTGTAAAGATGACGGAAAGGTGCGGATGGATCCTTATTTTCCGGTTTTCACGTAGCCTTTAAGCACTTAAGATGACTTAATAATAATGAAACATTTTAATTGTATGTAAAGTTGACGTATTTTCATCATTTAAGCATTTTTAAGGATGATATACGTATGTGTAAAGTTGACGGAAAGGTGCGGATGGATCCTTATTTTCCGGTTTTCACGTAGCCTTTAAGCACTTAAAGATGTCTTAAATAATGATGAAAATATTTCTAAATTGTAAGTAAAGTTGACGTATTTTCATTCTTTAAGCATTTATTACGGCTCATATAAGTGTGTGTAAAGATGACGGATAGGTGCGGATGGATCCGTATTTTCCGGTTTTCACGTAGCCTTTCAGCTGCTTAAAGTTGTCATAAATACTTTTTAAAATGCTCTTATAACGTATTTAAAGTTCACGTTTATTTCTAATTGAAGCACTTTTACGGCCAATATACGTGTGTGTAAAGGTAATCATTTGTTGCGTATATGGTGCTTATTTTTTGGATTTTCAGTTGACTTTCAGCAGCTTAAACTGCGTCTTTATTACCCATAAAGTATGCGTAACGTTGGCGTATTTTGTTGCATTTACTTGCCGTTTATTCTGCGTATGTCAGAGGTATTTGTGGCATTTTGGTGTCCAGTCCTGTCGTGGTTTGGGTGGGCTATCTTCGGGCCTGCCGTCCTGTTGAAGTTAGGCTCCCTGGATAGAGTTTAGCGGCACGATATCGATGCGAAACATACCGGGGAGCCTGGCTTACTCCGGCGGCGAAGAGGTCCTGGATCCCCAAAGAAAGCCGCTTCATACCCGGTA